TGGGGAGAACAAGTATTTGATACACTGCCGATTTTGCAGGTTTTCCTACTTACAAAGCATGTAGAGGTCTGTAATTTTTATCATAGGTACACTTCAACTGTGAGAGACGAAATCTAAAACAAAAATCCAGAAAATCACATTGTATGATTTTTAAGTAATTAATTTGCATTTTATTGCATGACATAAGTATTTGATACATCAGAAAAGCAGAACTTAATATTTGGTACAGAAACCTTTGTTTGCAATTACAGAGATCATACGTTTCCTATAGGTCTTGACCAGGTTTGCACACACTGCAGCAGGGATTTTGGCCCACTCCTCCATACAGACCTTCTCCAGATCCTTCAGGTTTCGGGGCTGTCGCTGGGCAATACGGACTTTCAGCTCCCTCCAAAGATTTTCTATTGGGTTCAGGTCTGGAGACTGGCTAGGCCACTCCAGGACCTTGAGATGCTTCTTACGGAGCCACTCCTTAGTTGCCCTGGCTGTGTGTTTCGGGTCGTTGTCATGCTGGAAGACCCAGCCACGACCCATCTTCAATGCTCTTACTGAGGGAAGGAGGTTGTTGGCCAAGATCTCGCAATACATGGCCCCATCCATCCTCCCCTCAATACGGTGCAGTCGTCCTGTCCCATTTGCAGAAAAGCATCCCCAAAGAATGATGTTTCCACCTCCACGCTTCACGGTTGGGATGGTGTTCTTGGGGTTGTACTCATCCTTCTTCTTCCTCCAAACACGGCGAGTGGAGTTTAGACCAAAAAGCTATATTTTTGTCTCATCAGACCACATGACCTTCTCCCATTCCTCCTCTGGATCATCCAGATGGTCATTGGCAAACTTCAGACGGGCCTGGACATGCGCTGGCTTGAGCAGGGGGACCTTGCGTGCGCTGCAGAATTTTAATCCATGACGGCGTAGTGTGTTACTAATGGTTTTCTTTGAGACTGTGGTCCCAGCTCTCTTCAGGTCATTGACCAGGTCCTGCCGTGTAGTTCTGGGCTGATCCCTCACCTTCCTCATGATCATTGATGCCCCACGAGGTGAGATCTTGCATGGAGCCCCAGACCGAGGGTGATTGACCGTCATCTTGAACTTCTTCCATTTTCTAATAATTGCGCCAACAGTTGTTGCCTTCTCACCAAGCTGCTTGCCTATTGTCCTGTAGCCCATCCCAGCCTTGTGCAGGTCTACAATTTTATCCCTGATGTCCTTACACAGCTCTCTGGTCTTGGCCATTGTGGAGAGGTTGGAGTCTGTTTGATTGAGTGTGTGGACAGGTGTCTTTTATACAGGTAACGAGTTCAAACAGGTGCAGTTAATACAGGTAATGAGTGGAGAACAGGAGGGCTTCTTAAAGAAAAATTAACAGGTCTGTGAGAGCCGGAATTTTTACTGGTTGGTAGGTGATCAAATACTTACAGTGAGGGAAAAAAGCATTTGATCCCCTGCTGATTTTGTACGTTTGCCCACTAACAAAGACATGATCAGTCTATAATTTTAATTGTAGGTTTATTTGAACAGTGAGAGACAGAATAACAACAAAACAATCCAGAAAAACGCATGTCAAAAATGTTATAAATTGATTTGCATTTTAATGAGGGAAATAAGTATTTGACCCCTCTGCAAAACATGGTACATGGTGGCAAAACCCTTGTTGGCAATCACAGAGGTCAGACGTTTCTTGTAGTTGGCCACCAGGTTTGCCCACATCTCAGAAGGGATTTTCTTCCACTCCTCTTTGCAGATATTCTCCAAGTCATTAAGGTTTCAAGGCTGACATTTGGCAACTCGAACCTTCAGCTCCCTCCACAGATTTTCTATGGGATTAAGGTCTGGAGACTGGCTAGGCCACTCCAGGACCTTAATGTGCTTCTTCTTGAGCCACTCCTTTGTTGCCTTGGCTGTTTGTTTTGGGTCATTGTCATGCTGGAATACCCATCCACGACCCATTTTCAATGCCCTGGCTGAGGGAAGGAGGTTCTCACCCAAGATTTGACGGTACATGGCCCCGTCCATCGTCCCTTTGATGCGGTGAAATTGTCCTGTCCCCTTAGCAGAACCCCCCCCCCCCCCCCCAAAGCATAATGTTTCCACCTCCATGTTTGACGGTGGGGATGGTGTTCTTGGGGTGATAGGCAGCATTCCTCCTCCTCCAAACACGGCGAGTTGAGTTGATGACAAAGAGCTCGATTTTGGTCTCATCTGACCACAACACTTTCACCCAGTTCTACTCTGAATCATTCAGATGTTCATTGGCAAACTTCAGACGGCCCTGTATATGTGCTTTCTTGAGCAGGGGGACCTTGCGGGCGCTGCAGGATTTCAGTCCTTCACGGCATAGTGTATTACCAATTGTTTTCTTGGTGACTATGGTCTCAGCTGCCTTGAGATCATTGACAAGATCCTCCCGTGTAGTTCTGGGCTGATTCCTCACCGTTCTCATGATCATTGCAACTCCACGAGGTGAGATCTTGCATGGAGCCCCAGGCCGAGGGAGATTGACAGTTCTTTTGTGTTTCTTCCATTTGCGAATAATCGCACCAACTGTTGTCACCTTCTCACCAAGCTGCTTGGCGATGGTCTTGTAGCCCATTCCAGCCTTGTGTAGGTCTACAATCTTGTTCCTGACATCCTTGGAGAGCTCTTTGGTCTTGGCCATGGTGGAGAGTTTGGAATCTGATTGATTGATTGCTTCTGTGGACAGGTGTCTTTTATACAGGTAACAGGCTGAGATTAGGAGCACTCCCTTTAAGAGTGTGCTCCTAATCTCAGCTCGTTACCTGTATAAAAGACACCTGGGAGCCAGAAATCTTTCTGATTGAGAGGGGGTCAAATACTTATTTCCCTAATTAAAATGCAAATCAATGTATAACATTTTTTATATGCGTTTTTCTGGATTTTTTTGTTGTTATTCTGTCTATCACTGTTCAAATAAACCTACCATTAAAATTATAGACTGATCATTTCTTTGTCAGTGGGCAAACGTACAAAATCAGCAGGGGATCAAATAATTTTTTCCCTCACTGTATGTCATGCAATAAAATGCAAATTAATTACTTAAAAAATCATACAATGCGATTTTCTGGATTTTTGTTTTAGATTCCGTCTCTCACAGTTGAAGTGTACCTATGATAAAAGGAGCTGAAAGTCCGTATTGCCCAGCGACAGCCCCGAAACCTGAAGGATCTGGAGAAGGTCTGTATGGAGGAGTGGGCCAAAATCCCTGTTGCAGTGTGTGCAAACCTGGTCAAGAACCTACAGGAAACATATGATCTCTGTAATTGCAAACAAAGGTTTCTGTACCAAATATTAAGTTCTGCTTTTCTGATGTATCAAATACTTATGTCATGCAATAAAATGCAAATGAATTACTTAAAAATCATACAATGTGATTTTCTGGATTTTTGTTTTAGATTCCGTCTCTCACAGTTGAAGTGTACCTATGATAAAAGGAGCTGAAAGTCCGTATTGCCCAGCGACAGCCCCGAAACCTGAAGGATCTGGAGAAGGTCTGTATGGAGGAGTGGGCCAAAATCCCTGTTGCAGTGTGTGCAAACCTGGTCAAGAACCTACAGGAAACATATGATCTCTGTAATTGCAAACAAAGGTTTCTGTACCAAATATTAAGTTCTGCTTTTCTGATGTATCAAATACTTATGTCATGCAATAAAATGCAAATGAATTACTTAAAAATCATACAATGTGATTTTCTGGATTTTTGTTTTAGATTCCGTCTCTCACAGTTGAAGTGTACCTATGATAAAAATGACAGACCTCTACATGCTTTGTAAGTAGGAAAACCTGCAAAATCGGCAGTGTATCAAATACTTGTTCTCCCCACTGTATATGCGAGAGAAAAAAAAAACATATGGGGGATTGGAAGTGATGCAGACAATTACATTGATGGAAGTTACAATCTATTTGCAATATTAAAGCTGATCTACCCCCTAAAAAAAAAAAGAAGAAAAAAAAAGAAAGTTGTCTGTGTATTTCCTTATACCACTTAGGGTTTGCCCATTATTACATGTAAAGCTCTTTGATTTAAGTATAAAAGGCATAATGATTCATCCTGTATATATACTGAACAAAAAAACATTACACTTCATATATGGAAATCAGTCAATTTATATAAATTAATTAGGCCCTAATCTATGGATTTCACATGACTGGGCAGGGGCACAGCCATCGGTGGGCCTGGCTCCCAAGTGGGTGGGCCTATGCCCTCCCAGGCCCACCGATGGCCAATCAAAATGAGTTTTTCCCTCTCTCAGACGATCCAGCAGGTGAAGAAGCCAGATGTGGAGGTCCTGGGCTGGCATGGTTACACATGGTCTGCGGTTGTGAGGCCGGTTGGACGTACTGCCAAATTCTTTAAAACGACGTTGGAGGCGGCTTATGGTAGAGAAATGAACATTCAATTATCTGGCAACAGCTCTGGTGGACATTCCTGCAGTCAGCATGCCAATTGCACGCTTGAGACATCTGGGACATTGTGTTGTGTGACAAAACTGCACATTTTAGAGTGGCCTTTTATTGTCCCCAGCACAAGGTGCACCTGTGTAATGATCATGTTGTTTAATCAGCTTCTTGATATGCCACACCTGTCAGGTGGTTGGATTATCTTGGAAAATGTTGTGCACAAAATCTGACCGAAAAATGCTTTTTGTGTGTATGGAAAAATTCTGTGATATTTTATTCCAGCTCATGAAACATGGGACCAACACTTTACATGTTGCGTTTATATTTTTGTTCAGTATAAATACCAAACGTGGTCAGAAACAGATTGTTGTAAACAATACTAAAGAAAAGCATTTGGAATATAAAGAGGGCATTTAAAATAGTCCCTAATCCTATCATGAATATTGTATTTGATATAGGGTCCCATTCCCAACACAATGTACTAAGAGACTGTTCAAATGCACTGGTCCTTCCTTTTTAAAACCATTTGATGGGGAGTTAAGTTAACCTGAGGTCACCTTATATCTTACAGATCCTATTCCCTTTAGGTCATGTCTGTCTGTCATGTAGGGATTAACCTGTCTCTCTCTGTTTCTGCCTGCTCTTGATCCTCCTCTGCCAGGGCCCATTTCTGGATCTTCCCGCTGCCAAACAAGGTGAAGACAAGCGCTCCTCCGGCGCTGATCCCGGCCGATAGACAGAACACACTCCTCCATCCCGCCAAGGAGTGCTGTTTGAGGAAGGAGGGGGGGCATGGGTCACAGTCGTATGTATAACAGTCTTCAAGGGTGCAGTAACTTTTAGAAATGAGCCATTTGAAAGATCTCAATTGCATTGTCCTCGTGTAAAGCAGCCCAATTCTGATCTTTCTTCCACTAATTGGTCTTTTGACCAATCACATCGGATCTTTTCACATCAGATATTTATATATATAAAGACCAATGAGTGAAAAAAAGATCAGAATTGGTCTGCCTGTGTAAACGCAGCCATGGTCTAATACTTTTTACAGCAACAAGTATTTAAGTAGATATATTCAATATATTTAATTATTTCATTATTTGATGTTGAAGGAAATGTCACCAGAAATGTCATTCTGAGGCTAAAGCTTACATCTTTGGTGAGGTAACCTGTGACGATGGGCGCGACCACACCTGGGATAGTCGCGAAAGTGTTGGTGATTCCTAAAAGCACCCCTGCATACCTGAGCATGAGAGGAAGAGAGAGAAATAAAGAGGTTAAAATACCTCCAAACATCAAAAAGCAGTGAAAAAGCAGTGTGAGTGACTTCTTCAGTCTTCAGTGACTGAGATATATATATATTTTTTTAGAACAAGTTCTCATTTACAACTGCGACCTGGCCAAGATAAAGCAAAGCAGTGCGATAAAAACAACAATTCCATTACATATGGAATAAACAAAAACGTACAGTCAATAACACAATAGAAAATCTATATACAGTGTGTGCAAATGTAATAAGTTATGGAGGTAAGGCAATAAATAGGCCATAGTGCAAAATAATTACAATTTAGTATTAACACTGGAGTGATAGATGTGCAGAATATGATGTGCAAATAGAGATACTGGGGTGCAAGTGAGCAAAATAAATAACAATGTAAATAACAATATGGGGATGAGGTAGTTGGGTGGGCTAATTACAGATGGGCTGTGTACAGGTACAGTGATCAGTAAGCTGCTCTGACAACTGATGCTTAAAGTTAATGAGGGAGATGAGTGTCTCCAGCTTCAGAGATTTTTGTAGTTTGTTCCAGTCATTTGCAGCTGAGAACTGGAAGGAAAAGCGGCCAAAGGAGGTGTTGGCTTTGGGGATGACCAGTGAGATATACCTGCTGGAGCGCATACTACAGGTGGGTGTTGCTATGGTGACCAATGAGCTAAGATAAGGCGGGGATTTGCCTAGAAGTGATTTATAGATGACCTGGAGCCAGTGGGTTTGGCGACGAATATGTAGTGAGGGCCAGCCAACGAGAGCGTACATGGTGGGTAGTATATGGGGCTTTGGTGACAAAACGGACGGCACTGTGATAGACTACATCCAATTTGCTGAGTTGAGTGTTGGAAGCTATTTTGTAAATGACATTGCCGAAGTCAAGGATCGGTAGGATAGTCAGTTTTACGAGAGCATGTTTAGCAGCATGAGTGAAGGAGGCTTTGTTGCGAAACAGGAAGCCGATTCTAGATTTAACTTTGGATTGGAGATGCTTAATGTGAGTCTGGAAGGAGAGTTTACGGTCTAACCAGACACCTAGGTATTTGTAGTTGTCCACATATTCTAAGTCAGACCCGCCGAGAGTAGTGATTCTAGTCGGGCAGGCGGGTGCAAGCAGCGTTCGATTGAAGAGCATGCATTTAGTTTTACTAGCGTTTAAGAGCAGTTGGAGGCCACGGAAGGAGTGTTGTATGGCATTGAAGCTCGTTTGGAGGTTTGTTAACACAGTGTCCAATGAAGGGCCAGATGTATACAAAATGGTGTCGTCTGCAAAGAGGTGGATCTGAGAGTCACCAGCAGCAAGAGCGACATCATTGATATACACAGAGAATAGAGTCGGCCAGAGAATTGAACCCTGTGGCACCCCCATAGAGACTGCCAGAGGTCCAGACAACAGGCCCTCCGATTTGACACATTGAACTCTATCTGAAAAGTAGTTGGTGAACCAGGCGAGGCAGTCAGTTGAGAAACCAATGCTATTTAGTCTGCCAATAAGAATGCGGTGATTGACAGAGTCAAAAGCCTTGGCCAGGTCGATGAAGACGGCTGCACAGTACTGTCTTTTATCAATCACGGTTTTTATATCATTTAGGACCTTGAGCGTGGCTGAGGTGCACCCATGACCAGCTCGGAAACCAGATTGCATAGCGGAGAAGGTACGGTGGGATTCGAAGTGGTCGGTGATCTGTTTGCTACCTTGACTTTCAAATACTTTCGAATGGCAGGGTAGGATGGATATAGGTCTGTAACAGTTTGGATCTAGAGTGTCACCCCCTTTGAAGAGGGGGATGACCGCGGCAGCTTTCCAATCTCTGGGGATCTCAGACGATACGAAAGACAGGTTGAACAGGCTAGTAATAGGGGTTGCGACAATTTCAGCGGCTAATTTTAGAAAGAAAGGGTCCAGATTGTCTAGCCCAGCTGATTTGTAGGGTCCAGATTTTGAAGCTCTTTCAGGACATCAGCTATCTGAATTTGGGTGAAGGAGAAGAGGGAGGGGGCATGGGCAATTTGCAGCGGAGGGTGCAGAGCTGGTGACCGGGGTAGGGGTAGCCATGTGGAAAGCATGGCCAGCCATAGCAAAATGCTTATTGAAATTCTCGATTATCGTAGATTTATCGGTGGTGACAGTGTTTCCTAGCCTCAGTGCAGTGGGTAGCTGGGAGGAGGTGCTTTTATTCTCCATGTCCCAAAACTTTTTGGAGTTAGCGCTACAGGAAGCACATTTCTGTTTGAAAAAGCTAGCCTTTGCTTTCCTAACTGATATGTGTATATTGGTTCCTGACTTCCCTTAAAAGTTGCATATTGCGGGGGCTGTTTGATGCTAATGCAGTATGCCACAGGATGTTTTTGTGCTGGTCAAGGGCAGTCAAGTCTGGGGTGAACCAGGGGCTATATCTGTTCTTAGTTCTGAATTTTTTGAATGGGGCATGCTTATTTAAGATGGAGAGGAAAGCACTTCTGAAGAACATCCAGGCATCCTCCACTGACGGAATTAGGTCAATATCCATCCAGGATACCCGGGCCAGGTCAATTAGAAAGGCCTGCTCGCTGAAGTGTTTTAGGGAGCGTTTGACAGTGATGAGGGGTGGTCGTTTGACCGCGGACCCATTACGGACGTAGGCAATGAGGCAGTGATCGCTGAGATCCTGGTTGAAGACAGCGGAGGTGTATTTAGAGGGTAAATTAGTCAGGATGATATCTATGAGGGTGCCCATGCTTACGGATTTAGGGTTGTACCTGGTAGGTTCCTTGATAATTTGTGTGAGATTGAGGGCATCTAGTTTAGATTGTAGGATGGCCGGGTTGTTAAGCATATCCCAGTTTAGGTCACCAAGCAGTACGAACTCTGAGGATAGATGGGGGCAAGCAATTCACATATGGTGTCGAGGGCACAACTGGGGGCTGAGGGGGGGTCTGTAGCAAGCGGCAACAGTGAGAGACTTATTTCTGGAAAGGTGGATTTTTAGAAGTAGAAGCTCAAACTGTTTGGGCACAGACCTGGATAGTATGATAGAGCTCTGCAGGCTATCTCTACAGTAGATTGCAACTCCGCCCCCTTTGGCAGTTCTATCTAGACGGAAAATGTTGTAGTTCGGAATGGACATTTCTGAATTTTTGGTGGCCTTCCTAAGCCAGGATTCAGACACTGCTAGAACATCAGGGTTGGCAGAGTGTGCTAACGCAGTGAATAACTCAAACTTGGGGAGGAGGCTTCTGATGTTAACATGCAAGAAACCAAGGCTTTTACGGTTACAGAAGTCAACAAATGATAGCGCCTGGGGAGTAGGAGTGATACTGGGGGCTACAGGGCCTGGGTTAACCTCTACATCACCAGAGGAACAGAGGAGGAATAGAATAAGTATACGGCTAAAGGCTTTAAGAACTGGTCTTCTAGTGCGTTGGGTACAGAGAATAAACGGGGCAGATTTCCGGGCGTTGTAGAATAGATTCAGGGCATTATGTACAGACAAGGATATGGAAGGATATGAGTACAGTGGAGGTACACCTAAGCATTGGGTAACGATGAACGAGATAGCGTCACTGGAGGTACCGATTGAGCCAGTCTCCGCGTGTATGGGGGGGTGGGACAAAGAAGCTATCTGAGGCAGGTTGTGCGGGACTGGGGGCTGTACAGTGAAATAGTACAATAACAACTAACCCAAACAGCAATAGGCTAGGCATATTGACATAGGAGAGAGGCATAACGCAATCACAAGTGTTATTCGAGAGGACTAAGACAACAACTGGTAATGGCGACGAAAGTTTGGGCTGAGGCTAAACAGATAAACAGGATGGGGTACCGTGTAAAGGAACAGTCCAGCGGGCATCAGATGTGTAGCTGAGTGATCATAAGTTCCAGTGAACAGCAATAGGTAAGTCCGGGAGCAGTTCGTAGGGAGGCACGGCTGTTGATTGCGCGTGCTAGCGGGCCGGTGCTAGCAGATGGATCTTTGTGGTCTTCGCAACGGGAAGCCTGTTGAAACCACATCAGACGATTACGTCGGCAGACCAGTCGTGATGGATCAGCGGGGCTCCGTGTCGACACTAGGAGGTCCCGTCCGGTTGACAGAGAGGTGGATAGCCGGGAGATGGGCCTGGCTCGAGGCTAGCTCAAGGCTAACTGGTGCTAGCTTTGGGACAAGTGGTGATTAGTTGTGATTAGCCAACAACAACATCCATTCGGTTGCAGCTAGCTAGTTGTGATGATCCGGTGTTAAGGTCCAGTGATTCAGTGATTCCGGCAGAAAATCCTAAATGCTCTGGGTCGATAGCACGCTGTGCAGACTGGCCGATAATTGTCCAGGCTAGAGCTGGCTGGTAGGTAGTGCAGGCCACGGACAGTGGTGAAGACCGCTAACGGTGGCTAATAGCAATAGCTAATAGCAAGTAGCTAGTTAGCTGGCTAGCTGGCTAGTTTCAGCCGTGGGTTCTTGATAAAAGGTATGAAGAAATAATAGAATCCGTTCCACATTGGGTGAGGCGGGTTGCAGGAAAGTATATTTAGTTAAGGATGGAAAGTGAGATAGAGAAATATATACGATAAAAGACAAAAAAACAGGCTATTTACACGAGGACACAACATAATACACGACCGCACTGCTATGCAAGAGAGCGAGAGAGTTCAGTGAAGGTCCAAAACATGCCCGAAAAGACTGGTGAGTAGGGAGAGAAGGGAAGTCAAACAAGTGAAGTGATGACATCTCTAATAGATAAACACCCACCGTGGAGCAATGTCTATCTGGTTGATGAAGACCCCGGCTGCACTGGTGCCTCCTACAGTTGTAGAGAGGGTGAGGAAGGTCACAGCCAACACGCCACTGCAGCCGGAGTAGCCCACAGCAACCAGGAACGCTGCAGGCAGCAGCAGACCTGGGGGAGGAGCGGTCAACAATATCCATCAATACACATGTTCAATGTACAAACATTGTGGTCCTCTGTAGCTCAGCTGGTAGAGCACGGCGCTTGTAACGCCAAGGTAGTGGGTTCGATCCCCGGGACCACCCATACACAAAAGAAATGTATGCACGCATGACTGTAAGTCGCTTTGGATAAAACCGTCTGCTAAATGACATATTATTATTATTTATTACTTTCTATTGATAATAGAGACACATAAGTATGTCCATTCACACAATTAACAACAACACATATATACAGTATATATGATACTCTAACTGTAAATTACTCTGGATAAGAGCTTCTGTTAAATTACTAAAATGTCAATATAAAATGTAAAATGTAATACTCTAGTTCCTATTTTGTTAATAAACATATTACTACAGACTAAAATATCAACTGCATTAAATAGTACCAAAGAATCCCGAAAAAATTGTTGCAAACTTTTGTATGTTTTAACAGCCAATCAATCAAACATCTGGTAAAGGCCACTCCATAAGTAACAATTCCTTTAAAAATAAAAGTCCCCTCCTTGCCTGTGATAGTGAAAATCTTGCGGACCGCTGTTACACTCAACAGCTCCTTCTCCAGGAGGCTGTCAGCTACTACACCTGATATCACTGAGAAGGCCCAGCCACCCAGATAGGGCAGAGCTGAGAGAAAGGCATTCTACATTTATATAGAGACAGAAAGAAATAGACAATATTAACCAACAACAAAAACAACAACAAAAATAATTGCAACTACATTGCAGGAATAAAATATCCCGATAAGATGGCGTCACTTTCACCAATATTTTATTAAAGCAATGCTACAGCAGCACAGTATAGACCTAGGTAATAACACAACATGATTCAAGTCCAGAGACTCCTGTTCTATCCCTGTACAGTTTGATATAGTGATTCAACACTAAATCTTAGTCAGTCATTCTCTAGTCCTACCACATACAGTAGGTATACACTTGTGTAAGAAATATGACAAAACTCTACCTATGGAGCCTAATACTACCAGGTAGAGCTATTACCATATTTCTTATAGCTATCTGGTCTTTACAGCACTCTGGAATTGAGTATCTCACTCTGTCTCTCTCCTCTTCTGGCGTCATCCATAGAAATCATATGTCCATATCTATGATGTATGACTTAATATACGATTTATTTGGGTCTCACCTGTCGGAGGTCAAAGTGAAGCACTGTGTCCATATAGGTGGGTAGTGAGGTGAGCAGAGTGTAGTAACCCCAGTTGGCACACATCTGAGACACTATGATGGCCCACAGGGGAACAGAGAGCATCATGGGTAAAAAAGGGACTGACCAGCCATGGGCACCACCCTGGGTTAAGAGGCAGAGAGAGACAAGAGAGAGAGAGCGAGAGCGAGAGCGAGAGCGAGAGCGAGAGCGAGAGAGAGAGAGAGAGAGAGAGAGAGAGAGAGAAAGAGAGAAAGAAAGAAAGAAAGAAAGAAAGAAAGAAAGAAAGAAAGAAAGAAAGAAAGGGGATTGACTGTGAACTGATTTACAAATGTATGACAAAGGGTCATTAAGGACACAACAGATAGATTGTTGTTACCTCTTTTCCTATGGAGTTGATGATGTAATCTTTTTCTCTTGTGCTGATTCGTGGATGAGTGCCAGGCTGGTCAGACACCAGAATGAACCAGAACACTGCCCAAATGCAACCAGCACCCCCTGGTGACGAGAGAAAGAGGGACAGAGAGAGAAAAAGGGAGGGGATGAGAGAAAAGCCTGGTTCTGTTGACATCTTTACAAAGCAAGAGGTTGTGTAGGTATAGTATTTGTGCTGAACTAGGTTCCTGCCTTTCCAGGGAGTTTTTCCTAGCTATCCTGCCTCTAAATCTGCATTGCTCTCTGGGGTTTTAGGCTCAGTTTCTGTATAAGCACTTTGTGACAACTGCTGTTGTAAAAGGAGTTTATAAATACATTTGATTGATTGAGTGTGCAAAGAATAATTGTGAATGATACAAAAATGGGAAAGTATAATGTGTGTGAAAACTTCACAGGAGAATAAAATAAGAACTGAAAATGTGGGTATGCAGAGAAATGCAGATATGGTGTGTGTAGCGGGGAATGTATATGTTTGGGGGGGGGGGGGGGGGGGGGGGGGGGGTTGTACTGAGTCTACAAAACACCTCTGTTTTTCATCCTCTCCTTCTAATCAGGGGCTAATTCAGACCTGGGACACCAGGTGAGTGCAATTAACTACCAGGTAGAAATAAAAAACAGAAGTGTTTCGGCCCTCCAGGACCGGAATTGAAGAACCCTGACATAGACTGACCAGATGAATCCAGGTGAAAGCTATGATCCCTTACTGATGTCACTTCTTAAATCCACTTAAATCAGTGTAGATGAAGGGGAGGAGACAGGTTAAAGAAGGATTTTTAAGCCTTGAGACAATTGAGATAATTGAGACATGGATTGTGTATGTGTGCCAGTCAGAGGGTGAATGGGCAAGACAAAATATGTAAGTGTCTTTGAACGGGGTATGGTAGTAGGTGCCAGGCACACAGGTTTGTGTCAAAAACTATAACGCTGCTGGGTTTTTCACACTCAACAGTTTCCCGTATATCAAGAATGGTCCACCACCCAAAGGACATCCAGCCAACTTGACACAACTGTGGGAAGCATTGGAGTCATCATGGGCCAGCATGGGGGGGTGAACTCAATATTAGGAAGGTGTTCTTAATGTTTTGTACACTCAGTGTATATGTTTGGGGGGTGTAACTGCTATCCAACTCTCACCACACATGTAGAAGACAGCGGGCCAGCCCAGACTGTGACAGATGAAGCCGGTGAGGGGCAGGGCTACAAAGGCCCCAAAGTTGGCCCCTGACCCCGACAGGGTCATAAGACGAGACCTCTCTAGAGGGGGAGCCCAGCGAGCCCACATGGCCATCATGGCTGGGAACGTCACCCCCTGATGACACACAAACACAGAGCGATACACACTGATTTGTCACTGAAATTAACAATACACCTTGGAGTTTTACAGAAAATAATGACTTTCTGGCCAAATTAGCTATACTGTATGTATACCATAAATACGGTTGTTTATACAATCAAATGCTAATCCAGTTCAATGCTGATAACAGAATGAGATTGACCCCTACTCTGCACACATGAAGCCTCTTACCTCCCCAAATCCCTCCAGTGCCCGTAACCCAAACAGCCAGTAGGGTCCTAGCTGGGCTGCCAGTGGGGTGAGGAGGGTGAGGGCTGCGGTGCCCAGCACCCCTCCCCCCAGGAAGATACTCCCCCCAAAGTGTCCAGCCAGGTAACCCCCGGGGATCTGAGTCACCAGGTAGCCAAAGAAGAACGCCCCCAGCAGCAGGCCCTGAGTCTGAGAATCCCACGAGTACTGAGGTATCTGAGAGAGGGAGAGAGAGAGAGTAAATGAGCATTAGTGTTACGTATGAGTTTGTGAGTGTCTTGTATCCACTGTGCATGCATACTTTGCATGTGCAGTATGTCCAGTATGCATGCATCATGTTTGCGTGAAGCCTATTTATGTACTATAATATATGATATAATATATGAGCTATAATATATGCTATAATATATGAGCTATAATATGTGCTTTAATATACATGCACAGTATACTACAGGTCTAGTTGTGGATACTTTGGAAGAGCTGGTACTTACCCCGTCTGGTTGGTCTGGGGTTTGGCTGCTGTTGTTGTACCTGTGGGAGGACACTGGGCACTCATGGCCACCTGAGCTGTTGAGAGATGGTTGGCTATTGGTCCCATTGACCATGGCAACCATGGCAACACTTAGATTGACACGGAGACCGTAGACGACGGAGAATCCGAAGAACATCATGATGGCCAGATTGCAGCGTGCAGAGCAACATTGTGGAGGCACTGTTAGACATTACATTTGACATTTTAGTCATTTAGCAGACGCTCTTATCCAGAGCGACTTACAGTTAGTGAGTGCATACATTTTTCATACTGGCCCCCCGTGGGAATCGAACCCACAACCCTGGCGTTGCAAGCGCCATGCTCTACCAACTGAGCTACAGGAGGCCTTATACAACAAGTGCACAATCACACCTCACAGTCTATCTGAAAACACTTAGACATAAAGATGACTAGACAGTGCTAGTAGAACATCTACACTAGCAAACGAGGAGTACTTGACACTTAAATTACCTATTTCCCTAGCACAGTGTTAGTTATGATGTAATAAGCTAAAGCATAGGGGCAAATCCAAACTTCCAGGTAGGTCAAATTTTCACTTGATATGACTTCCTTCAACGATCATAAAGTTATCATTACATAATAGATTACATAAAACCAAAAACAGTAGACACCTGAATCATCAACATCCACCACTTCTTTTTTAAGTAGGGGTGTAGTCTCTCCACTCTCGTCCAGTGGGGTGGAGTTGATGGAGTATCCATTTTTTAAAGCCATGGCAACCACTAGTCAGTGAGTGTGATCTGAGGTCACCTAACCATAGTGTTCTAAGAAAATCTGCCAGACAGACAGAGAGAAAGAGTCAGCATGAAAAATTGCTAGACATTCAGTCTCATGCGCACACACACACACACACACACGAGTTAAGACTACAGATACAGGCTGTATTTGAGAATGACCATGACTAGACAGGTCAATGTACCTTATGGTGTTCAATGTAACTGACCCAGCATGCCAAGACAAAGGTATTGAGTTCTTTAGCTACAATGGCCAGAAGACAACAATTTACTGACTTAATATAAATCCATGGGAGATTGTGCAACCATTACAAAACACCTGACTAAGTCAAAGAGATCAAATATACTGTATACATGTATTATAACATTAGACTTTGCTCTTTATATTGAGGAATGTTTAGATCAGCGTTTCGAACCCTGTTCCTGGAGAGTTACCCTCCTGTAGGTTTTCGCTCCAACCCCAGTTGTAACTAACCTGATTCAGCTTATCAACCAGCTAATTATTAGAATCATGTGCGCTAGATCAGGATTGGAGTGAAAACCTACAGGACGGTAGCTCTCCAGGAACAGGGTTGGAGAGCCCTGGTTTAGATAGAAAAAAAGTTTGACCAATAACCACAAGTTGGACTGGTTGGACCAGAAAGTTACTCACTTGCTGTTATTGAGTTTCTAGACCTAGATCATAGGATTGGAGAGCATCATACATACATTCTTCTTCTTCAGATGATGATGCTCCAAACTGTTTTAGGCTGGCTGGTGGTGTGGCTTATCCATGTTGACCCTGAAGAAAAAAACAAGATGGAAAACAAATACCAGTCTGTGAATTATGGCCTATGTAAAGTCAGTCACAGAAGCATGATTTCAATGATTTTTCATAGCTACCTCTTTTAGAGCTGGACAAGTACTATGCAATAAATCTGATCTCAGAATACAGGTCTGTCCACTAAATGAAATAAACCAGTAGCCTTGGCCTCTCCTCCACTCTGACTGTGACTTGTGCAGACTGACAAAAAGCAGATGTGAACCTTGTGTATCTGCTGACTAATAAAACATTCACACTCAAAGGTTACCATTGGAGGAACAGAGAGTGTATGTTACGCAAGTCAGCTGATGAGGGGGGTTCTTATTCAGTTCAGAGTGATTAACACAATGCTTAGCATATTTATATGTTTGTCCTTTTCTGTAATATACATGATTTCCAGTGTTCTATTTGTGACACATTTGTGTTTGAATTGATGGTCACTAGATTTGTTACTGAATGTTATGGATTCTCATATTGTTTGAATGTGATTGACGCCAGAGCTACAGAAGGTACAATGTCTGAGGACACTGATTCTGTAGCAGCAGGCAAAGTCACCATCTTTTGTTTTGACTTCGCACAAGCCTCTCGGGCTGATGTTAAGAGAACATTTGACACTGTCTGTGTCACGATCGTCGTAGGAGTGAGTAGACCCAAGGCGCAGCGTTGCAGGCAAACATACTCTTTATTGAGTGAAAACACGATCAAAACAAACAAAGACGGTAACGTGACAGTTCACGGTGAAACTAAACCAACTAGAAACAAGAACCCACAAAACCAAAGGAAAAACCGACAGATTAAATATGGCGTGACAGTACCCCCCCCTAAAGGCGCGGACTCCGACCGAGCCAACTAAATACCACAGGGGAGGGACCGGGTGGGCACTCCGCCTTGGCGGCGGATCCGGCTCTGGGCCCGATCCCCACTTCCTCTCCAACCCCCCAAAGTACCCCTGGTCCTGTCTAGCCCCGCTGGCCGGAGCCGGACTGACGACACGCACCCCTGGCTTGGTGCGTGGAACAGGAACGGACCGGACCGGGCTGACGATGCGCACCCCTGGCTTGGTGCGTGGAGTAGCAACTGGCCGGACCGGGCTGACGATACGCACCCCTGGCTTGGTGCGTGGAGCAGGAATGGGCCGGAATGGGCTGGCGACGCGCACCACAGACTTGGTGCGGAGAGCAGGAACGAGCCAGACAGGGCTGACGAAACGCACCACAGACTTGGTGCGGGGAGCAGGAACAGGCCGGACCGGGCTGGCGACGCGCACCACAGGTTTGGTGCGGGGAGCAGGAACAGGCCGGGCCGGGCTGGCGACGCGCACCACAGACTTGGTGCGGAGAGCAGGAACGGACCGGACAGGGCTGACGAAACGCACCACAGACTTGGTGCGGGGAGCAGGAACAGGCCGGACCAGGCTGGCGACGCGCACCACAGGTTTGGTGCGGGGAGCAGGAACAGGCCGGGCCGGGCTGGCGACGCGCACCACAGACTTGGTGCGGAGAGCAGGAACGGGCCGGACAGGGCTGACGAAACGCACCACAGACTTGGTGCGGGGAGCAGGAACAGGCCGGACCGGGCTGGCGACGCGCACCACAGGTTTGGTGCAGGGAGCAGGAACAGGCCGGGCCGGGCTGGCGACGCGCACCATAGGCTCGGTGCGGGAAGCAGGAACAGGCCGGGCCGGGCTGACGACACGCACCACAGGCTCGATGCGAGGAACAGGAACAGGCCGGACCGTACTGGGGACACACACCACTGGCCCTACGCAGGGATCAGGAACGGGCCGGACCGGACTGGTAACACACCCCAGTACCTCTCGCCGTGCCTCCACACTTTCCCTCTCCTCTGTGACCAGTGGCCCCCTTAACCTGGCGGCCTCCTCTGCACACCCGCTGGACCGCTCAATCGCGGCCTCCTGCTGCCCCGTCGTCCACGTCGTGAGCCCCCCCCTAAAAATTTTCTGGGGTTCCCTCCTCCCCGTGGACCAGGCCTCCCTAGTTCTCGCCAGACTCTCACCCCACTGCTTCCAAGTCCAACCTCTCTGCTCTTCACTTGGCTTGGCCCAGTCGAGACTCTTAATCCATTGCTCCATAGACCAGCCTCTCTTCTCTTCACTTAGCGGGGCCCAGTCGAAACTCCTACTCCACTGATCCCAGGTCCTTCCTCTCTCCTCTTCACGCTGCTTGGTCCAGCTTTGGTGGGTTCTTCTGTCACGATCGTCGTAGGAGTGAGTAGACCAAGGCGCAGCGTTGCAGGCAAACATACTCTTTATTGAGTGAACACACGATCAAAACAAACAAAGACGGTAACGTGACAGTTCACGGTAAACTAAACCAACTAGAAACAAGAACCCACAAAACCAAAGGAAAAACCGACAGATTAAATATGGCTCCCAATCAGAGACAACCAGCAAACAGCTGACACTCGTTGCCTCTGATTGGGAGTCACTCAGGCCAACACAGAAATACGGAACATAGATCTACACACCCTGGCTCAACATAACAGTGTCCCCAGAGCCAGGGCGTGACAGTCTGAATATAAAGGGCCTGTCTCCAAGTGGACCGTTAGACATTTTCTCTGCTTCTGTGCTGGAGGTGTCTCCCTGTTGCAACTTGTAATTAAACCAAAATTATTTTTATTGATGTGATCAATGACTGCTCTCCTTTTTGTTCATCTGGAAATTCCCATTACACATGAACAGACTCAAAAACCATGTGCATTGGTATGCGATTGTGTGTTTTTCTCCCAAAGTTAGTATAATAACTGTGTGTAGTTTTAGTAACTCTCTGCTTCTTCATTCAATCATAACTTCTCCATTATCTGACATTAGATTTGGGATTTTAAATCCAACCTGTTCCCCATAACTAATGGATATCACCCCCCCCCCCCCTCCCCCCGTCTATAATGATAACAAACAATGCAATGAATGATGCTCACATTACATTAGCCTCATTACATGACAACTTGTTTTCTTTTACATGACAGACCTACAGGAATATAGGAATTTCTTTGACTTCTATGGTTTCTGACTTCACTCATGTTATTACAACACTGGAGGCTTATAAGCAGTCAGTCATGCATGTATTTGTGAAGCGAAACATTAACTTGTAACAGCTGGCCACATTGGTACACAACGAGAATAGATAGCTAGATAGGTCTCAAAATTAGATCCAAAATAGTACAGCTGCTAATGCATATTAGTTGAATTTGAGCCACAGAGCAAACTTACCTAGAACGAATGGACTCTTCAGCCCAAACCCTCTGGTTCGCGTTGCACCGGTCATATTTAATAAATGTGTAAAGAGCTCCACGTTTTGCCTTATAGTGCCCCTGCTAAATGACTAAAATGTAATGTAAATGTACTGCTTATAGCCTTTCCACTTGGCAGAGAAAAAGTAACAACAGTGTTAAGAGTTTTGTGTACAATGTTTACGATTCAGGGAAACCGGTAGTCACATGACCAATAATATTTATTTCTTCGGTGATAAACACAAGATAAACGCAGCTAATTTATACAGCGCGCAACAAGCTGTTCCATATGATTTGGAAATCGGTGGTTGTTTCTCACGTTTCTTCCTGGTTGCTAGCATGTCATGTGACAAACTGTGGCGATTCCTGAAAAGTAAGTAGCAGTTAATTGCTCCGGTGCAGATTCAGAGTGTTTATTGCTCAGCAGATGTTTATAGTTTCCCGTTTTCAGTGAAACACGACCAACAAGATATGTATGACCAAGCTAGGAAAATAATGTCGTCTAACGTCGCTAGTTTCCCACATTTGGGAAGCTAGCGTAGCGTGCTAGCTAACTTGGCTAACTGGTTTGTTATGAAAGAAAGGTACCTCCCAAACTTGCAAGAAAAATGGGGAATGGTTGTTCGTTCTGGCTTTGTTTTGTTCTTGTGAAGCTCTCGCAGCCATATTCCATGATTTTGACAACATGGAAAACCCCTACCAAACAACAATCGCAGCTTTAAAGGCATACTCTGCATTCATAATAACTACGTCTATAATGCAGCTGAGATATTACGTTTCCCCAGCCCCATCGCTCAGTTTACCAAACAAAGTTTCAGGGCCAGGCCACCCACTTCCCAGTTGAATCACATTACTGATTACATAGATAGTCCTGCATTTGCATTAGTTCACTTACTGTCTGTGAACTAATGCCAATGCAGCATGGACTCCTGAACAGCTAATCATTGCTACCTGGACTATTTGCATTGGCCCCCCCACCCCCTCTTTTACGCTGCTGCTACTCAGTTTATTATAATAATATAATATAATAATATGCCATTTAGCAGACGCTTTTATCCAAAGCGACTTACAGTCATGCGTGCATACATTTTTGTGTATGGGTGGTCCCGGGGATCGAACTCACTACCTTGGCGTTACAAGCGCCGTGCTCTACCAGCTGAGCTACAGAGGACCACATGTATAGTCACTTTAACTCTACCCACATGTACATATTACCTCGACTAACCGGTGCACCCGCACATTGACTCTGTACCGGTACCCCATGTATATAGCCTCCCTACTGTTCTTTTATTTTACTGCTGCTCTTTAATTATTTGCTATTTTTATTTTTTACATATCTATTTTTTACTTAACACTTTTTTATTTTCTTAAAAACTGCATTGTTGGTTAAGGGCTTGTAAGCATTTCACTACACCTGTTGTACACCTGTTGTATTCAGCGCATGTGGCAAATTTGATTTGATTTGTACATTGATTTCAGGGTGCAAGATGACCACACTTTTCCGCTTGCTCCTGGGGGCTGGCCCCCTGCTATTACTTGTCCTCAGCCCAGTACATGGATTCAACAATGCCACCCTCCCATTGGTTCTGTGGCATGGAATGGGTAAGCGCTTAGATGCATAATTCTAGAACATTATGTTTTCACATACAGCAATGGCGTTTCTCAGTTTGGCAGAGTGGCTAAACAAGGAAGTGGAGGCCCTTCAGTAAATGTCATGCTATGTCAGATAGTGTATATAGACTCTGTTCTTGTTTCTGTGTGTACACAGGAGACAGCTGTTGCAACCCTCTCAGCATGGGCTCCATAAAGAAGATGATCGAGGAAGCAATCCCTGGCATTGACGTCCTGTCCCTGATGATTGGCAAGACTGTCATTCAGGTACTTTCCACTCTCCATGAACCTATCTCAGTGGCAGGGCTAGCGCCAGAACGAATCAGTTGGATGGGCATTTGATTTCCATAGGCGGGCACTTTTTTTTTCAAGGGACCCCCTATGTGATTTAAAAAAATGGTTGTTATAGTAAAGACCCGTTTCAAATTTGGGGACGCTTACAATTTATCCGACCATTTCTACCGATCTGTGTGCCAGTTATGATTATTTTTATATGCACATTTTTGTGGAACAGTTTCATTTCTATAACAACGTTTCTGTTTCTCAAAATCATTGTCACGTGGTTAATCATAAAAATCTGAATTAAAATGATGAAAATCTAAAAGTTTAAATTCAACTAATGCGAGAGCACCATACTCTGCAATATGGACACATTGATACACCAAGAGCCATTGGCAGCTAAAGAAATTAACGCATGGAACTCAGAGATAGCCTATAGGCCAATGCAGCAGTATGCCTATAACTTCCATTGTCAACTAAGTAAAATAAAGCCTTAAGCCGATAAATAAAAACAGTAGAAAATATCCTGATATTCAGGTTATTTCAATCGCATTCATCTCTGTACTCCGCCTGTCCGCCTCCCTTTCTATCAGTCTTGACTTGAGCTACAGTGGGGAGAACGAGTATTTGATACACTGCCGATTTTGCAGGTTTTCCTACTTACAAAGCATGTAGAGGTCTGTAATTTTTATCATAGGTACACTTCAACTGTGAGAGACGGAATCTAAAACAAAAATCCAGAAAATCACATTGTATGATTTTAAAGTAATTCATTTGCATTTTATTGCATGACATAAGTATTTGATCACCTACCAACCAGTAAGAATTCCGGCTCTCACAGACCTGTTAGTTTTTCTTTAAGAAGCCCTCCTGTTCTCCACTCATTACCTATATTAACTGCACCTGTTTGAACTCATTACCTGTATAAAAGACACCTGTCCACACACTCAATCAAACAGACTCCAACCTCTCCACAATGGCCAAGACCAGAGAGCTGTGTAAGGACATCAGGGATACAATTGTAGACCTGCACAAGGCTGGGATGGGCTACAGGACAATAGGCAAGCAGCTTGGTGAGAAGGCAACAACTGTTGGCGCAATTATTAGAAAATGGAAGAAGTTCAAGATGACGGTCAATCACCCTCGGTCTGGGGCTCCATGCAAGATCTCACCTCGTGGGGCATCAATGATCATGAGGAAGGTGAGGGATCAGCCCAGAACTACACGGCAGGACCTGGTCAATGACCTGAAGAGAGCTGGGACCACAGTCTCAAAGAAAACCATTAGTAACACACTACGCCGTCATGGATTAAAATCCTGCAGCGCACGCAAGGTCCCCCTGCTCAAGCCAGCGCATGTCCAGGCCCGTCTGAAGTTTGCCAATGACCATCTGGATGATCCAGAGGAGGAATGGGAGAAGGTCATGTGGTCTGATGAGACAAAAATAGAGCTTTTTGGTCTAAACTCCACTCGCCGTTTTGGAGGAAGAAGAAGGATGAGTACAACCCCAAGAACACCATCCCAACCGTGAAGCATGGAGGTGGAAACATCATTCTTTGGGGATGCTTTTCTGCAAAGGGGACAGGACGACTGCACCGTATTGACGGGAGGATGGATGGGGCCATGTATCGCGAGATCTTGGCCAACAACCTCCTTCCCTCAGTAAGAGCATTGAAGATGGGTCGTGGCTGGGTCTTCCAGCATGACAACGACCCGAAACACACAGCCAGGGCAACTAAGGAGTGGCTCCTTAAGAAGCATCTCAAGGTCTTGGAGTGGCCTAGCCAGTCTCCAGACCTGAACCCAATAGAAAATCTTTGGAGGGAGCTGAAAGTCCGTATTGCCCAGCGACAGCCCCGAAACCTGAAGGATCTGGAGAAGGTCTGTATGGAGGAGTGGGCCAAAATCCCTGCTGCAGTGTGTGCAAACCTGGTCAAGACCTATAGGAAACGTATCATCTCTGTAATTGCAAACAAAGGTTTCTGTACCAAATATTAAGTTCTGCTTTTCTGATGTATCAAATACTTATGTCGTGCAATAAAATGCAAATTCATTACTTAAAAATCATACAATGTGATTTTCTGGATTTTTGTTTTAGATTCCGTCTCTCACAGTTGAAGTGTACCTATGATAAAAATTACAGACCTCTACATGCTTTGTAAGTAGGAAAACCTGCAAAATCAGCAGTGTATCAAATACTTGTTCTCCCCACTGTAAATGGGCACTTTCCTACATTTGCATGCAGCAGGCCAGGTAGGCCAACTTTGCACTCCCTTAACGTTATCAGGACAGAGAAACCAGTCACATACTCATTGCTCACATGGAGCACTCCAAAGAAAAGACAATGAAAACATTTACAAAACTTGTAAATGATGGTTATGAAATAAACCAAAACTTGTTTCTCACAAGTGTAGCAAGTTGTGAATTCTGCAAACAACATTTCCACTCCGAGAATGAGAACGGTAAATGACTGTAATTAATACATGCATTCACAGAAATTAATGAAACCAAATGACAGGGATTAAAGGTACATTTACTATGCCTACTGGTGACATACAGTGCATTCGGACCCCTTGACTTTTTCCACATTTTGTTATGTTACAGCCTTCTTCTAAAATGGTTTTAAAATGTAAACAAATCTCAAATCTACACACTACCCCATAATGACAAAGCGAAAACAGGTTTTTAGAATTGTTTGCAAATGTATTAAAAATTAAAAACAGAAACATTATTTACATAAGTATTCAGACCCTTTGCTATGACACTCGAAATTGAGCTCAGGTGCATCCTGTTTCCAAATTCAATTGATTGAACATGATTTGGAAAGGCACACACCTGTCTATATAAGGTCCCACAGTTGACAGTGCATGTCAGAGCAAAAACCAAGCCATGAGGTCAAAGGAATTGTCCGTAGAGCTCCTAGACAGGATTGTGTCGAGGCACAGATCTGGGGAAGGGGACCAAAAATGTTGGCAGCATTTTTGGTCCCCAAGAACACAGTGGCCTCTATCATTCTTAAATGGAAGAAGCTTGGAACCACCAAGACATTTCCTAGAGCTGGCCGCCCAACCAAACTGAGCAATTGGGGGAGAAGGGCCTTGGTCAGCAAGGTGACCAAGAACCCGATGGTCACTCTGACAGAGCTCCAGAGTTCCTCTGTGGAGATGGGAGATCCTTCCAGAAGGACAACCATCTCTGCAGCACTCCACCAATCAGGCCTTTATGGTAGAGTAGCCAGACGGAAGCCACTCCTCAGTAAAAGGCACATGACAGCCCGCTTGGAGTTTGCCAAAAGGCACCTAAAGGACTGACCATGAGAAAGAAGATTCTCTGGTCTGATGAAACCAAGATTGAATTATTTGGCCTGAATGCCAAGCATCACATCTGGAGGAAGCCTGGCACCATCCCTACGGTGAAGCATGGTGGTGGCAGCATCATGCTGTGGGGATGTTTTTCAGCGGCAGGAACTGGGAGACTAGTCAGGGTCGAGGGAAAAGATGAACGGAGCAAAGTACAGAGAGATCCTTGATGAAAACCTGCTCCAGAGCGCTCAGAACCTCAGACTGGGGCGAAGGTTCACCCTCCAAAAGGACACAGACCCTAAACACACAGCCAAGACAATGCAGTAGTGGCTTCGGGACAAGCCTCAATGTCCTTGAGTGGCCCAGCCAGAGCCTGGACTTGAACCCGATAGAACATCTCTGGAGAGACCTGAAAGTAGCTGTGCAGTGACGCTCCTCATCCAACCTGACAGAGCTTGAGAGGATCTGCAGCAAAGAATGGGAGAAACTCTGCAAATACATGTGTGCCAAGCTTGTAGCGTCATACCCAAGAACACTCGAGGCTGTATTCACTGCCAAAGGTGCTTCAACAAAGTACTGAGGAAAGGGTCTGAATACTTATGTAAATGTGATATTTCAGTTTATCAATGTTATTTTTTTTTCTACAAACCTGTTTTGCTTTGTCATTATGGTGTCTTGTGTGTAGATTGAGGAAAAAAACATTCTAATCCATTTTAGAATAAGGCTGTAATGTAAGGAAATAGTCAAGGGGTCTGAATACTTTCCGAATGCACTGTATGTAATTGGGAATTGATAAAAATAAACAATCAAAGGGCAAACAATTCACACAATGAAACAATGAATGCGCAATAATTGGCAGGAGACAGCTGAGCGCATTCTAGAGAACTGAGTGCATGCATTTTGGAGCGAGACGCCCCATATTTTCATCCCATACCCCTCCCCTTTTGCTTGTCTCAACATTTAAAATGATACTCAAGACATTCTGGGCCCCGTGTAGCTCAGTTGGTAGAGCATGGCGCTTGCAACACCAGGGTTGTGGGTTCGTTTCCCACGGGGGCCAGTATGAAAATGTAAGTCACTCTGGATAAGAGCGTCTGCTAAATGACAAAAAAAAATTATAATAATAATTCTTGACACATAATTTAGACGCTTTTCACTAACTCAACTCAATAATCAGCTAGGCCTATTGTCACGCGCGCTGCCCAAATTACTGGCTTCCTAAATAGGCATATGCCTACGCACTTGTGAACAATCCACAGATGATTTTTTAAAAGAAGCTAATGACCCTCTGTGGCTAAGTCGTGCTCTCTGATGAAGTATTTTTAATGATTTTATTTAGACAGGAGTACTTATATAATTTTGGCAAAACATACATTTACTTTAGTGGAAGCCAGCATCCGAACAGTGCACTGTGCACCTGGCAACTTTCCTTTCCAATTCAAGAAGCTGAAACGAGATCTGTATATAATAACGAGATGCTCATGTCTCCACCCTAACAATGGGAGTCGTCCCAAAGGCAGGAAGGCAGGCCACAAGCTTAGGTCTGTATATTACGCCCATAGAAACGCATTAGGCTTATTTTGGACAGATTTTGGCAATAGTACGCCCTCTCGCTTTGCCTCTTACTCTCTGCTGAAACTATCTCACCGGAGAAAGCTTCTGAGTGAGCGAAACAGCGCCCCTCTGTCTTAATATATGTAGCCCATGTATCTGATGCTGTTTGGCCAGAAATAGTATGACATGCCATACTATTTTTGTCCAGACAGTATCAGATACATGGTCTACACATACTGAGACAGTGGCGCTGTTTCGCTCACTCGGATGCTTTTTCTGTGATTGATGCATCTTTCTGTCGGCGAACATCTCGGTCAAATAAATGATCAATATTTTATTTGGACGGGCAAGGAGGTACGGTAAGGTGGGCCAGGCCCCCTAAGGCCCATCCATAACTCCGGCCCTGCACGGTGGTGGACAGTCATACCCTGTGGTGACCGGTGTGGATGCTTGGCTTTGCTCCCGCCAAACAGTAACACACCTGTTCCTACTAATGAAAGCTTTGATTGAAGTTGATTAGTAGAATCAAGTGTGTAACTGCTTGGGGGCTGCAGCGACACTTGCACTCACCGGCCTTTGTAGAGTAAAATAGCTCACCTCTGACCTATTTTCTGAAATGTGGTTTTCCTGTTTGCCAACTTTGTTACGTTCCCAACATGAACTTCCTTGCCTCCTCATATCTACCCCTCAGGACACAGAGAATGGTTTCTTCATGGACGTCAATGAGCAGGTGTCCATGGTGTGCAGCCAGCTGGCCCAGGATCCCAAGCTGAAGGATGGCTACAATGCCATGGGCTTCTCCCAGGGAGGGCAGTTCCTGTAAGTGTCTCTGGGCCTGTTCTCACAAAGCCTCTCAGAATGCTTTTTGAATAGAATGTCAGAGATTGGGAAGGGCCACTCCGGTTCTGGAGAGCTGCAGTATGTGCAGATTCCAGCCCAACACTTTCACACTTATTCAACAAATCAAATCAGGTGTTTCATAGCTGAGGTGGAATAAAAGCCTGCAGAAACTCAGGTCCTCAAGGAGTTGCCCATCCCCGGTAAGCGGAAGAATATACTTTATACATGAGACAAGAAGCTGTAATTCTCAGTTATTCACCTTACCACCTCTTTTCCCCCTAGGAGGGCAGTGGCGCAGCGCTGTCCATCTCCTCCAATGAAAACCCTGATCTCTGTTGGGGGACAACAACAAGGTAACGGCACCATGGCAACAGTGCCTTGTCTCTATTCAGCGACATTGTCTTTCATTCACTTCCTGACAGTTTTGTAATGATCATATTCTCCACATTCGCAGGGGTGTATGGTCTCCCTAAATGCCCTGGAGAGAGCTCCCATATCTGTGACTGGATTCGCAAGAAACTCAACTCAGGAGCCTACACCGATATTGTGCAAAAACAGTGAGTGTAGACTTACAACTAATTCAGAGGGCAATTGTTATATTCGAGACAAGTCGGCAACAACCAGATAAACATTAGGACATAGTTACTGTACGTTTTGAGAGGATGTGCAAAGAATAGAGAGAGAAAGTGCTTTGTGTATTGTGTGGTTGTTATCTAGTGATTCATTTGGAATCCTTGTCTTTATCAGCTTGGTGCAGGCACAGTACTGGCACGACCCACTAAACGACGACCTGTACAAAAAACACAGCCTCTTCCTAGCTGATATCAATCAGGAGCGGGTTAGTATGGTGCTCTCCTTTTCAGAATCAGACTTATTTGATTGATTTATGCTGTTTATCTTCAATATTCTCCATAACTGCATTCCAATTTAATTTCATTCAATTCATCTGCTGCATTTCACCCCACAGGTGGTGAACGAGACTTACAAGAAGAACCTCCAACTGCTGCACAAGTTTGTGATGGTCAAGTTCTTGCAAGACAGTGTTGTGGATCCAGTTGACACCGAGGTAAATACTGTACACATTGTGATAACCTCTCTTGATGTACTGTCCTCCTCCTACACTGTAATTACTGATGCTAATGGACAATATGTATTTTGTATGTCATCTCTTTGTTGTAGTGGTTTGGTTTTCTGAAAACGGGTCAGGCAAATGAGACCGAGACCCTTCAGGAGAGTGTTCTCTATAAAGAGGTAAAACCCCATCATGTTTACGCATCTTCAAACACAGACATGTATTTTCATGTGTTCGAATTATATACATTAATGTATGTGATATTGATAAATGGTATTGGTTTTCAGGATCGTCTGGGACTGGCAGCGATGGAGGCAGCTGGGAAGCTGGATTTCCTGGCCACAGAAGGAGATCACCTCCAGTTCACGGATGAGTGGTTCAATGCCAAACTAGTGCCTTACCTGCACTAAATACACCTAGCTACCTACGCTCTGTTGACATTAGTTGGCGTACGCACACACATTACTATTGCACTGATCATTCCTATCATATCGATACCATCCTGCTGTTTAAATCGAATAATGCACTGTTTATGATTTTAAAAACCGTTTTACCCAGTTAACGTACTACCATAGAAAAATTAAGTTGGTTCTCAGATGCAAGATGGTCTAATTTGGAGATATCTATTAAAGTTTAAATGTAGGATAATTTGTTTAGCACTGTATTTTGGAATAAAAATGCAAGTTATAATGCCAGGGTTGTGGGTTCGATTCCCACGGGGTACCAGTATGAAAATGTATGCACTAACTGTATGTCGCTCTGGATAAGAGCATCTGCTAAATGACTTAAATGTTAAATGTAAATAACAGTGTGGTGGGCATTTTCTTTGCCAGTAGTGTAATGGTAAATAACATGGAACTAATGATATGTTAGGAAATCACTGGTTCTGAACTGGGCTAATTATCACTGTCACTGACTATTTACCCAGCTCTCCTTGTGAAAAATGGTCAACAAAGGCACATTTTCCCCAGATAGAGCCAAACATAAGGGCTCATCACCCCCTCTTCATCCCATATTTAGCCTGCTCTTACTGTCCAGTCAGCAAATAGAGAAAAATCACCCACATTATCAGTTTCTTCGATCACACAATCATACTCAGAACACTCAAGACTGCAACATTTTTTTATGTCTTCCTCCAGTACTAATGAGCAAAATGTGTTTCTTTACCCAAATAAAGAAACTCTACATCAGAGCATAATCAGAGGTTGTAGACTAGAGACAGAGGAGTGGATAGGTGGGTTGATGGGTAGGTGAGGATGACGACAGTGGGGTTCAGACAACTAGTATTAAAAAGCAATGTCTATACAGATCATTACAGCAGATAGTTCAATAATCACTCCGAGATCAAGGAAGGCAACCCCAAACGTAACCATTTATGATCATCAACAGTATTTTTACGTCTTGTCGCTAAAACCACTTCCAATTTGTGCCAAAGTGAAGTTATACTCACCACATACTTCCACATTGTCTCTCTGCCACCGTTCGCCTCCATATTGTCTCAATAATATGGAATGTTCATTTTAAATGCTAAAGGGAATGTGTTTTGGAGGTCAAGCAAGGAATGAAAAGGTATTTTATTTTTTACATTTCATCTTTCAATATTTTTTCAACACCATTTTGCTTCAGTGTTATGATAAAAAAAAAGTGATCCAGCACGTAACTAATCATTTTATCTATTTAAGAGTGATGACACAAATGTGTTATAGTTAATCAATCCCTATGAATGTTAACATCGTCATCAATGTCGGAAGTGATAGCATTGTCGTCTGTAAAGAGGGGTTGGTTGTACATGTGCTTCACGGCTGAATTGCATAAATGGAACTGAAACCTTGGACCCCTAAACACCTGCCTCCCCCTGACCAGAGGGGAAATGGAAATCCGATTAATGATTGGTTGAAGGAAACAGGAAGCATAGCCTGATTGGCTGATGCGTTAACCACAGAAGGTGTGATAAATGCCTTTCTCCCTCACGTTCGCTATTATGTTTATTTATCATTTGCATTCGCTGGAAATCAGAAATCAACCTGGTTGTTGGCAAACTTATTTGAATACGCTCACTGGTCATGAGGATAACCAAATCGAATAACAAGCTGCTCCCTGCAATTGGCTGAAGGAATGCTCCAGATAAAGCAAGCAGTCCTCTCATTGGCTGAAGGAAGAAACCGCTAAAGCTGTGATTGGCGGATTGGAAAAATATGGGTGAGGTTGGCATCTCGGTCTACTTTGTGGTTTGGTTAGCTGGTCGGTCGATCAGTCAGGTAGGCATTGCAAAGGGGAGGCTGTTTCGAGTGCTGTCCCTCTATCCAGCGATCTCTGTACAAGTAGTGACAAGCTTCTTGCCATCCCAGACAGTCTTGAACTGCTCAGGAACAGGGATCTCAGTCTAAGAGAGAGACCAAGGAGAAATGTTTGTAATACATGTGATGATAAACTGTTACATAATTGCCTTTATAATGCCAATTAGATAGACAAGATTCCCCCATAGATGTACTCACATAGTCTCCGTCTTTGCCAGGTACCAGCACGTTCATCTCTGAGCTCTTGGCACTGACGATCTCACACTCCAGTGAATCTTTGCTCAGGTACACGTGGCAACCGTCAGTCTTATTGATGGAGATGGTGGGCACCTTGCCCAAGACCTGAACACACCAGAGGGTTAAGCGTGATTCAACTATGATGAAATAATCTGTTGGGTACTGTGCAGAGATAAAACAGCCATAAAAGTTTAGATAACATGCAAAGTCATCTGTAAAATGTCACACCCGCAATCAAACTGGAAACTTGTAATATGTAAACGATAAATCAGACAAAAGCTGATATGATCTGTTGTCACCGTTGTGTGATATCACCATGTTCATTGCCTTTGAATGACCAGCCCCTTTCACACAGTGTCCATTTTCGCATTAATCGATTTTAGAAATACACACCTGGACCTTCACGTCTCTGCAGTTGATAATCTCTACAATGCCCACGACATCGTCAAAGACCAGACCCAGTTTCTTACAGTTGTCTGCAAGAGAGGAACCATATTAACAAATGCCCTTTGTTGCCTTTTTACTTTAAATGTGTCCATGCACGAACACACACGGACAGACACACATGGGTACGCCCTTACCTAAAGTGATGGAGTTTATCTTGCCCTTGATCTGCAGGGTGCTGTTGTTACACTTGAAGGCGTAGACCACCTGCTTGAGCTCTGTGTCACTGATCACCAGGCCCTGGGCACCCTCATGGTTCTCCTATAGGTCATTACACAGAGGAAGAGAGGTTAGGGGTTAGAGAGGAAATACACTCCACTCCTGAAAATGCAATGGTTCAGGACTGTTGTGATCAGTGCATGCGAAACCCGTGCATTCAGTTTTCAGGGGCAAACCAACAGCCCACTTACCTGAAATGTGCCCATCATTTATTTTATTTTATATTTCTTTATTTAACTAGGCAAGTCAGTTAAGAACAAATTCTTATTTACAATGACGGCCTACCATGAGTTCACTGTAGTTGAAACTCTGCTTATATAGTAGATTATTTCATAGTAAACCAAGTGGTTTATAAATATAAAGCCTTTAACATTTCCCCATGATGTACCAAGTAAACAAAGCCAATATTTATGGCTGCAAACCAAAAGGAGTCGTGCACACCACTGTTTGGAAACACTGTTGTGTTACCTAACGTTACATGTGTTGGGAAATACAGCTAAGTCCTTAAAGTAACTGTCCAGTGTTTTCCAGATTTCTTTGAAAGATGACCATAGTCTTCCTTCCAAACAATGGTAATTAAATATGTTAAAAAGCGGCTTCTCTGTGTTGGAATGTTGTGGGCGTATCCAAACAACATAATGGTGTGGCATATACCGGCCATTCAAAATATGAACGTGAGTAGACTGCTGATTGGCCAGCTCATCATGAGGAAATAGCAAGCATTTTGTTTGAAATATATGTTTGAGGTGTTTTCTTTTTTCTTTTTTTAAAGTGTTTTATTCTCCAATTTATGCTTTGGCCACAAATACGAGTATAGGATAAGTCAACAACATTATTTGGGTATGAATTAACAGAATATGAACTTTTAAAAGTGAGATTTTCACTCGACAGTTACTTTAAGGGGCTGTGGAGAGAGAACATTGCCTATAGGAACCTTTTTCCTATAGGAGGAACTGACGGTCGGAGAAGCAGATGTGGTGCACTGACGAAGCGTTCTAACACACTGTTACCACCGTATACCAGCGTAAACTACTTGACAAGGACCAAAATCTCACCACTTTCCACTTTTTGCCGTCAAGTTCCAGAACGGGGGGCAGCTTGCGAGAGGGGGTGGGGGTGGCGGCTGTCTTGGGGGAGCTGAAGGACTTGGGCCCTGTGCGCACCGGACCGGTCTGGGTCCTCAGGTTGGGGTTCTTGTGAGTCATCTGGTCTTTGGGCACGTGCTTCAGGCCTAGGGACAAAAAGTAAAGGTAGGAAGGAGAGGGGAACACAAATATTGACATATTTGTCATTTACCAGACACTATTATCCAGAGTAACATACAGTAAGCGCAAATATACTATAAGATGGGTGCGACATGGTGCTACTGTGCTGGTAGACAAGGAGAAATGCCCTTACATAATGGGAGGCTCTGTATAATGAATGTAAGGCCTGGGGTCAATTTGCTTCTCGCATTGTATTATTTTCTTTATTCAACCCAGTAAGTCACATTGAGATTTACATATTTTTCAAGTGAGCTCTGTATGTTTCAAAGTACTTCTTAATCAATTGAGCTTCTGATTCTTGAGAACTTTTGATGATGCATATTTCGACGCGTACCCTTGGTGATGTCAGCTCCCTTGTTGAGGGAGGCGAAGAGGGCGTTACGGGTGTCAGGCCCCTGGTCTCCGCCACCGCCAGATGACCCGCTGAAGTCCATGGGAGGGGGAGGAGGGCCGGGGGGAGGAGGAGCGCCACCGGCAGGGGGAGGGGGAGCTGCAGAGGCCGAGGCTACTGGACCCTGGAATAGACAAAACAGACAGCACATCGGTTATATACATCCCTAGACATGGTCATTTCCTGTTCTTAACAACTGGGTCTAATTCAATAAGGCGCAATGTTTGGAACTGTGCAGATAGAAAAGGGCTGACAAGAAACCAACACATTGGTGGTTTTCCCATCGCCCTCTCTAGCACACACACAGCCTTCTTGTTGCACATTAAACCTAAGGCGGCACAGCGATGAAGAAGGCACAGTGATGCCGAAACCTTGGTGGTTTCTTACCCAATAAATTACTGGGAGTTTATTCATAGAGTGTGCGACTCTCTTTATTTGTTTTTATAACATAAAACCAAAGACATTACTTGACAACTGGGTGTGATATTTAGTAATGTGCTGATAGAAAAGTCAAGCAGAGCCCAGTTTGATGATTCCATATTCTGCATGACAGATCTTCATGCATGTTCGATAAACATAATTAGAACGTTTCTATTCGGAACCGTTCCACCTTCCTAAATAAGCCTATGTCATTACTTCACTCATATGGTAACGGTTAGGATCACCTTTCCCTTCCCCCAGCACTAAGTCTGTTGTTTATGAGCAGCTGATGAAGTGTAACCCTCCTGTAGTGACATGAAAAGTAGAGCGAGAGAGAGAGAGAGTAGGGTAAAACGACTCACGCTCTTGCTCCAGGCCAGTCCAGTGGTGTGGTGCTGTTTGATGTAGTTCTGCAGCTCAGTCCAGATAGACAGGTAGGCCTTAACCCAGTCCACATGTTTCTGGTCCCTGAGGAGTAGGACACAAGGCAATTTAGTTTAGCACAACAGGAGGGAGACCAAAGGATGAAGAAAATATACAGTACTACAGAGGGGCCTTATCTTTTTTTGTGTGTAATTTAGCAGACGCTCTTATCCAGAGCGACTCACAGGAGCAATTGGGGTTAAGCACCTTGCTCAAGGGCACATCGACAGATTATTCACCTAGTCGTCTCGGGGATTTGAACCAGCGACCTTTCGGTTACTGGTCCAACGCTCTTAACCGCTAGGCTACCTGCTGCCCACTTGGCAGTCAGAAAAAGGTTATAAGGACAACAAACAGCAGATGGTCCTTACTTCTCCTTGTAGTCCTTGAGCACACGGTTGGTGTAGAACTGGGCAGCATCCTGCATCTCCTTCACATAGGGACCTGGCTTAGGAGCCTGGAAGAGAATGAACGTCGCAGGAGAGTTATTGCTCTTCAAAACAGCCTGTGTGGACACAGCTCATGTGATGGCTTCCAATGGGTTTTAGATGCGTGCGTTGCATCCACTGGCATCCCAAAGTCTAGGTTTGCCTTTGTTCATTATTCATCAGATTACAATGCAGCAGTTCTCATTCATATTCATTACTCAAAATGATCATCATAATTCCAGAGTTTCAACACTGATGCACTGTTGCTAAAGGGACTTTGTTTCAATTTCACTGCCAAATCTCAGACTTCTACAGAATTAAAGAGGTGTTTGTTTCCGGCAATTACACACCGCCAAAACACCCCACACACACACACACTCTGGTGGCAATGCCAAGCACCTCCCCTCCCTTCCCTCACCATGGCGACCCAGCCGAGGGCAGGAACGCTTTCGCTGATGGCCGAGAGGTGGTTGAAGAGGGGCGAGGAGCGGTTCTGCTCGCGGAACGTCTGCACCTGCTGGATCACTTTGGAGACAGGGGCCAGGAGAGCGGTCAAGGATGCCTATAGAGCGAAAATAACCATGACTTAAATCATAACATCCCAGAGATGCAAATAAAGGAATGTATTTGCACCTGACAACAAAATATAATCTAATCACCAACCAGGGTGGAATAACGTGCAATTAATTACTTAGAATAATATGTGGCAAGAGAATGTAGGAAAACCATGCCATTGGAATCAGTTGACCCAATTGCTACACTGCTGATTCATTGCCAATACATCTGTTAATGAGACAATTACAGTATATACACTGTTGAGTTGATCTAAATAATGACCTATTCTGCTGAAAACTATGTCATGTGTAGGGTCAAGGTGATTGCTGATGGGTGAACCAACTCACATCAGAGGGCTTCTGGGAGCAGGAGGAGGTTACCAGGAGCTGTCTCTGACATGAGAATGCCTGCTTCATCATGTCCGCCTGAGAGAGGGAGAGACAGAGAGAAAGGGATGAGAAAAGGTCCAGGTTTGGTTAATTGTATCACATCCACCAATAAGAATGACAGGAGACGCGAGGAACATTACTAGCCAACTTCTCCCTCTAGTGCAATTCAACTTACATGCTTCTGGACGTCGCCCCCTATCTGCAGGCTGAGGGTCATGTACTGGGCAACAGAGCCGGCGATGATGCCATCATAGGCCTCCACGTAAGCTGCCACGACTGCAAGGAATGGGTGGCAACAGGGAGAAATGTCAGAGATACCAGTGTTTATACACTGTTTGTTCTGCTTGTGAGTCATGTTTTAAATTTTACCTCCGTTATCTAAGACAAAACAAACTTTTACCGAACTAGTACTGTGGAAGTTTCTTTAGCATTATTAGGACCTGGACTCTCAATTCAGTCTCAGTCTTTCCATGATTTCTTGCATCCGTGTTTGCGTGAAACGGGCTGCAATATGAAATATCCTAGATTACCTCCAGAGCCTCCAGCAGAGCCACCGCCCGACACTGCCTCCAGACGACCCACAGCCACCTCCAGCCGCTGCACCAGACTTGCCAAATCTGCCATTCCTGGGGACAGACGACACTTCAGCTGAGGGGTTCAGTGGTCACTGCTTGTTTACTATAAAAGTATCACAAGCGGTCATTGACAGCAAGTGGTTTTGACTGAAGAATTCTGTGAACCATTTTTGCTTTTCATTTAAAGTTTTCATTGCATTAGTAGGCCAACTTTTCTCTGTATGTTAGTCTGTCTTTTGTCATTTTGTCAACTCATACATTGTCTATAAAAAAATAGGCAGCCTACTGCAATTTTGGCAATAGAAATCAGCGATTGTGGCCATAGATACAACAACCAAAAGGGGGAAGACAAGTTCTAACTTTAACCCAACTAGTGGTTAAAGCAGGGTTGGCCAAACCTTTTGGCTCAAGGGCCACATTGAGTTTTTGCAACAAAGTGAAGGGCCACATACTATATGCGTGACAAAACATGTGAAGCCTTTATTCATTTTCACATTGACACACAACTACTAGTGTACTGTAGGTGTACATATGCTTGCAGAATAATTCTAACCTTGTACCATCTCTACACCTTTTTGTTTCATTCAGTGAGCCATAGAACTGGTCTATTGTTGCTGTTTTGTACTTCTCCTTCAAAGCACTATCACATTGGATGTCGATTAGCTCCAATTGTGTGTCTGGTGGTGCTTTCTCACTGTCGAAAGACAGGGGGCATGATACAAGCTCTAGCTCAGTCTCAATCTTGGTGAAGTCTGAGAAGCGCCGGGAAAACTCAGCATGTAGGTCGATGAAAGTGCTACTGTATGTCTCATTGCGGCACTGCGATGTGGACGTGTTCAGTGCGGCCTGTGTCGGAAAATGAGCGAGAGACCGGCTGCTCATTTGTATTTGACGTTGGAATACATTTCATGCACAAAAACAACTTCCCTGCAGTTTCACATTAGATCGTTCAGATGCCCCAATATGTCCACACCGAAAGCAAAGTCGCCCAGCCAGTCTGTGTCTTTCAACTCGGAGAAGTCGTCAGCTTTACCAACAGTATCAAGGAACATACCTATCTCCCCTCTCAGTTCCCACACTGGGCAAAATACTTTCCCCAGGCTTAGCCAGCGCACATTTGAATGGTACAACAAGTCGTGGTGCTCTGCCTCTGTGTCACTGAGCAGCTTAATGAAGTTGACAAGTTTTACAACCACCTTGACAACATTTTCCAGCTTTAACACACCTTTACAAAGGGCTTCCTGATGAATAATACAGTGAAGAAATATCAATTCCTCTTGAGTTAGGGCTTTCTTCTTTTATTTGTCTTTTGTCTTTTTAGTAGGCCAATGTTTTTACCGGTTAGATTTGGTGATCCATCTGTTGTGACGTTTGTCAGTTTGCAGGCAGACACCCTGTCATATAAGTCAGAGCCCCTGGTTGTTCCCATCATTGATTCCATCGCAAGACATTCCTGTTATTTCGAAGTTGTCATTTATTCCTCTGACCCACGACAGAGTCCACTTCTCATTTTCCCAGCACTCATTTTTCATGTCAAAAGTCGTCAAGCAATGAAATGGCTATGATGACTGAGCGCATTTTGAATCTGACTGTAGGCCTAAATTGAGCACAATGCCAGGCTACAGCGCTATATATTGGAAGTTGTTTGTATATCACAGAATGAGTAATTGTAGGCCAAAAATCGTAACTCAAATATAATAATTAATACATTTTTAAAAATGTCTCGCAGGCCGGATCTCTGTGCATCCAAATGAAATTGTGTTTGTTGTCCGTAGCTTATGCCATAACCCCACCATGGGGCACTCTGTTCACAATGTTGACATCAGCAAACCGCTCACCCACACGACACTAACGTGGTCTGAGGTTGTGAGGCAGGTTGGATGTACTCCCACATTCTCTAAAATGACGTTGGAGGTGACTTATGGTAGTGAAATGAACACTAAATTGTCTGGCAACAGTACTGGTGGACCTTCCTGCAGTAAGCATGCCAATTGCACGCTCCCTCAAAACCTGAGACATCTGTGGCATTGTGTGACAAAACTGCACATTATAGTGGCCTTTTATTGTCCCCAGCACAAGGTGCACCTGTGTAATAATCATGCTGTTTAATCAGCTTGTTGATATGCCACACCTGCAAGGTCGATTGATTATCTTGGCAAAGGAGAAATGTTCACTAATAGGGATGTAAACAAATTTGTGCACAACATTTTAGAGAAATAAGCTTTTTGTACGTATGGAACATTTCTGGGATATTTTATTTCAGCTCATGAAACATGGGACCAACACTTTACATGTTGTGTTTGTATTTTTCTTCAGTGTACTCTATATAGACCTCATGTACAACTAGGCTAATTGAATACAGCTAAATCTATACTCAACAACAGTCCTCTGTGTTGACAAAGTGGTAAGTGTTGTTAGATCTTCTCTACGGTTGTGAAATGCCCTTGCAGGAGTGCACACACAGACCCTATAGGCTGACATTGCATAATAGAAACCAGATACCCTGTTCATCGGAGTGACTGTCTCAGGTACTGTCACCTGAGTGGAAAGACAGACTTCATCCCATTAATGACAGTGGATCCATGTCGCTCTATTCTCCTGGGATAATCCCCTCACTATTCACTTTCCCAGAGCAAAGTATTGCTTGTGACATAGGGCGGGGTATGCAAAATGTTACCAAATGATTCAATGGCTTTTGATTTGTTTAGAGATAAACCTTTTAGCCTATATAATTCAAGGCCTTATTCATGCTTGAGAAACAAACATGTAGGCACACTTATTTTCTGTAGAGCAGATGACAATGGCAATAAGCAAACATCATTACATTAACCATTAAGAGAGACCAAAGAGAGAACAGGAATAATAAGCCATCTGGAAATATTTCCCGTCCTGTTGCTTGCTTGTCATGTTTGTGGTGCCAAGCCGGGCAGAGATGCAGTCTTGCTTTTGCATCTTCATTTTAGATGTCAAGAACATTTTGCTGCTTCAGAGGCACTAACTCATGCTAAGAAAAATGGTTAGCTCTACTAGTAAGGTGCTAGGGGTCAAGCAGACAGGTCCTGTCATTTGCCAAATAATGTTTAAAACCACAAGTAGGACCAGCAGGCTGGCCTACAGATATAATTGTAGTTGACGGAATGTTCTGTTGTGTATAGTGTACAGATTATCATTGATCGCTCATTAACGTTCTGTATTTACTGTCTGTATACAGTGCAGTCGGAAAGTATCAGACCCCTTTCCCTTTTCCACATTTTATGATGTTACAGCCTTATTCTAAAATCTATTAAATTACATTTTTCCCTCATCAATCTACACACAATACCTCATAATGACAAAACAAACAGGTTTTTAGAAATGTTTGCAAATTTATTAAAAATAAAAAAACAGAAATACCTTATTTACATAAGTATTCAGACCCTTTGCTATGACACGAGATTGAACTCCGGTGCATCCTGTTTCCATTGATCATCCTTGAGATGTTTCTACAACTTGATTGGAGTCCACCGGTGGTCATTTCAATTGATTGGACATGAAAGGCACACACATGTCTATATAAAGGTCCCACGGTTGACAGTGCATATCAGAGCAAAAACCAAGCCATGAGGTCAAAGGAATTGTCTGTAGAGCTCCGAGACAGGATTGTGTCAAGGCACAGATCTGGGGAACAGTACCAAAAAATGTGTGCAGCATTGAAGGTCCAAGAACACAGTTGCCTCAATCATTCTTAAATGGAAGAAGTTTGGAACCACCAAGACTCTTCCTAGAGCTGGCCGCCTGGCCAAAATGAGGTGACCAACAACCCGATGGTCACTCTGACAGAGCTCTAAAGTTCCTCTGTGGAGCTGGGAGAACCATCTCTGCATCACTCCACCAATCAGGCCTTTATGGTAGAGTGGCCAGACAGAAGCCGCCACTCAGTAAAAGGCACATTACAGCCTGCTTGGAGTTTGCCAAAAGGCACCTAAAGGACTCAGACCATAAGAAACAAGATTCTCTGGTCTGATGAAACCAAGATTGAACTCTTTGGCCTGAATGCCAAGCGTTACGTCTGGAGGAAACCTGGCACCATCCCTATGGTGAAGCGTGGTGGCAGCATCATGCTATGGGAATGTTTTTCAGCAGCAGGGACTGGGAGACTAGTCAGGATCGAGGGAAAGATTAAACGGAGCAAAGTACAGAGAGATCCATGATGAAAACCTGCTCCAGAGCACTCAGGACCTCAGACTGGGGCGAAGGTTCACCTTCCAACAGGACAACGACCCTAAGGACACAGCCAAGACAACGCAGGAGTGGCTTCGGGACAAGCCGTTCGAACATCTCTGGAGAGACCTGAAAATAGCTGTGCAGCAACGCTCCCCATCCAACCTGACAGATCTTGAGAGGATCTGCAGAGAAGAATGGGAAAAAAATACAGGTGTTCTCAAATACAGGTGTGCCAAGCTTGGTGAAGTCTGAGAAGCGGCGGGAAAACTCAGCATCTAGGTCGATGAAAGTGCTACTGTATGTCTCATTGCGGCACTGCGATGTGGGCGAGGCTGTAATTGCTGCCAAAGGTGCTTCAACAAAGTACTGAGTAAAGGTTCTGAATACTTATGTAAATGTGATATTTCCATTTTTTCCCCAAACATTTCTAAAAACCTGTTTTTGCTTTATCATTACGGGGTATTATGTGTAGATTGAGGGGGAAAAAACAATTTAATCAATTTTAGAGTAAGGCTGTAATGTAACAAAATGTGGAAAAAGTCAAGGGGTCTGAATACTTTCCGAATGCACTGTATATAATTTGTCCATCTTTGTTTGGTTACGCCTCTGCATACATAACAAACCTTCCCCATGGGCATAATAAATAATCTTATCTTGTCAAAAATTAGGTCTCAGTGCACACCCTGCCTACCCTTGACCTAAATGTATGGGCTAGTGCCTGTAAAAATAGGCTCTACAAGGGCTGGTGAACACAGAGTTCAACTTTTTTTTTTACTTCCTTGTTGCCATATGTCAGTACAATGACTCAACCTAGGCCTGCTCCTGTGGTTAAAGCAAGGTGGGTCA